GGTCAGGGAGAGGAGCAGGTTACCCCCTCTCCCCAGCGGCTGTCTACAGTTCAGAGAGAGGAGCTTGTTACACCCTCTCTCCAGCGGCAGCCTAACCCACCAAGGGGAGATGTTAAGCCCCACAACTATGCAGATGGGACCGTAGTCTCTGCACTTGCAGCACCAGGGGTAGGGACAGTCGGTCCTGTCCCCAGCCACAGAGCAGTGTATCCAGAGGGGAGACAGTCGGTCTCCCCCTCCCACAACCAGGCTCCAACCAGGCTACTTCAGTGGTAGCGCTGGCACCCGGGCAGAGTACCGCTGGTTTCTGCACACTCAGCAACCCACCAAGGCATTCTACCAGCCCCCCGTACAGCCGTGGTGAGGCACCTGGACACGGACAACTTGCTATTTTATCCAGGTGTAGTAACCAGTTATTGTGGGTGGGCTGTATTGCTGTTTGTGCTTCGTGGGTGGGTTGCTGGACTAACCAGGGCACTGACCGGCAGGAGGTCAGATACCCTGTTAGTCTGGATGGTAAAGGGGAGAAATGTGGCGAAACCGCCCTCGCCACGTGTCCTTGGAGGGGGCTGCTTGCCCGCCTCTTGCCTTTGGACTATGGACCAGACTTTATGTGAATGTGTTAACCCAGATAGCTATGCCATGGAGCCCATTCATGTAGTTAAAGACTTTGGCTCCATGGCAATTGAACTGTGTGAATAGGATCTGAGCGCTATTCGGTAGTTTTGTGCGCTTAGCTATCTGGGGATATGTTACATGTCTGTGTTTTATGTAATAAATGTGACTTCATGTATTTTAAAGTGTTTTGTGTCTCTTTGCAACCATGTGCTTAATGGAGTCTTGTGTCTGTCCTGGGAGATAATTGAATTACTTATCTCCAGGATAGAAGACTCTGAAACTGGTTTGGGCCAGAAAGCCATGCTTCATTTAGTCACAAAGGACTTTTTACTAACTTTTGAACCCCTTTGTCTGATTTGTGCCATTTTTGAATATGTTGTTCCCCTGAATGGATTGATTGTGAATATGTAATTTTATGTGAATGTGATGTATGGTTTTGGAGTTATGAAAGTTGGGTAGAAAGTATGTTTTAACTGTATGTATAATTGAGTTTCTCTCAGGATAAGGGGAGGGAATATGTGGGATGTAACTGTGATGTGATTGGTTGTTTTGTAACGCCCTGTGGGCTGTACTATGTTTGTGATTTGGGAATAAAAGAGACTGTATGTGACAGTACAGGGAGTTCCTGTTTTAACCCTCAAAGTGAAGTGTTGTCTCATTATTGAGGGAAGGATTTATTGTATGCTGTTCCAGTTTGACTGCTAGGAGAGCAAACCTATTCATATGGTTCCTATTCAACTGTCTACAGCATTCATATGCTTGGGAGAATTTATTTGCTTCTCCGGTTCGGTGGTTGTGGTGTCTGCTGCAGTGCTTGGAGTCCTCAGGAAGCGCTAGGAGCATCCTTTAACGGAGGTACCCAGTCGGGGTGCCAGGCGATCCGTTACACGGTCTAACCACGTGGCTCATCTGAAACAAAGGAGAGGGACGCGTAATTCCAGTTCCTGCATTCCTGCACATGCTCAGTACAGTGATGACAGTATCCTAGCTACGTGCAACTAACTAACTGATACTACAAACACATGTACCTACCATGGGCGTCCGCAGGAATTTTTCCAGGGGGGGCATAATTGTAATGACATCCATGCTTGGTACCTTTTTGACAGTGTCATGAAAGGGAAGGGGCATAGCCATTATCACATAAAGCCAGGGTGAATAGCGTTTTCACAACTATGGTGTCAGGAATATGTTTGTATTCCTGACACTATAGTGTTCCTTTAAGCAAATTAAAGGACCATTCTGGTCACCATAACAACTTCACCTAAATGAAAATGCTATGATGCCTGGAAGCCCCTGGGTGCTCGCTTTCCTTTAAGGGGTTAAATCGCTCTCAAATGGTTTAACCCCAAAGGCTTCCTCCAGCTCCAGGTCGCTCAGTGGTATTTGGCTTCTGAAACAGAGTGTCAGGAAGTGAAGATTGACGTCAGGCGTGGGTGCCGCTGATTGGCTTTAGTGGACAGTTGACGCTCTAAGCCAATTGCTAGTTCCCGGTTCATAAAATATTTTTACTTTTTTATGAATGGGGAGCTACTAATTGGCTTAGAGTGCCAGCTGACTGCTCTAGCCAATCAGCAACACCCCTACCCAATGGCACTCTGTGCTTCCTGACATTCAGTAAATAAAAGTGAACACATTAATACTGATATTTTTTTACCTTTGGAGATGAGAAGGTCCATCGTTTCCCTGCCTGGCCCAGGTACCAAAGCCTTATGATGTGGTGTCCAGAATAAAGTGGAGGGTTCGCTTCATTTGTCCTTCCTGCTCCAATCTCCTTTTCCTCTCCTTCATTTGAGAGTCTTTTTTTTTCTTCTGACACGGTTTTCTATCCTTGGCCCCTTCTGCTCTTTTACCTTTCTGCTACTTTCTGCTTATTTAGCGCCCTTCTGCTCCTTTCTCATTCTGATCCCTTTCTGCTCCCTGCAGACCCTTTCTGCTCCCTTTTCTACTTTACCTTTGTGCTCCTTCTGATTCTTTCTGCTCCTTTACCTTTGTGCTCCTTCCTGCTCCTTGCAGACCCTTCCTGCTCATTCTCCTATTTTACCTTTGTGCTCCTTCTGCCCCTTCCAGCTCATTTCTGACCCTTTCTGCTCCTTCTACTTTACCTTTGTGCTGCTTTACCTTCCAGCTCCTTGCTGACCTTTCCTGTTCATTTCTGTTCCTTTGTGCTCCTTCTCCTACTTTACCTTTTGTGCTCCTTGCTGCCCCTTTCTGCTCCTTGATGTCCCTTCCTGCTCATTTCTGTTCCTTCTCCTTTTCTTACCTTACCTTCCTGCTCCTTGCTGACTCTTCATGTAGGCTGTCTCCCCCATCCCTCACTTCCATAGGCGTGCACACGGGGTGTGTCTGGGCACACCCTAATCCTCGCGGCACGCCAATGGATTGAGACCGGCAGGGGAGATCTCTGGATCTCCCCGGTCGGCTCATGCAGAGCCGAGGCTATCCGAGCGGTGGCTCTGGTCTAAGCCTCCATGGGCCGGTGGGGAGATCAAAGTTCTACCTCACCGGTCCACAGCAGCATGGAGGGAGGCAGCAGAGAACCTGGGCTAGAGTTCACTCTCCACTGAACCACCAGGGAAGGCAGCAGGACTGGGATATTAACTAATCTGCCCCCACCTCCACCCAAACATACAGCACACACACACACACACAGCACCTACACACAGCACACACAGCCCACAAACAGCACCCACACACATACATCACCCTCGCACACACAGCACCCACACACATACAACACCCAGCACACTAACAGCATCCTCACAAACACACAAAACCCACCCACAACACCCGCACAGCACCCACACATAAACAGCAAACTCACACACAAACAGCACCCTGACAAACACACAACATCCACACACAGCAACAGGACCCGAACAAACACCCTCTCACTCACACACACACAGCACACAAACAGCACACACACACACACACACACACACACACACAAGCGTGTGTTTGTGCTTTAGGGTGCACACCCTAATGCAATAGGCTGCGCGTGCCTATGCTCACTTCCCTAATCTATAGGCTGCCCCCCCCATTGCCTCACTCCCCTAATCTACAGGCTGCTGCCCCCCAGCCTCACTCCCCTAATCTACAGGCTGCTGCCCCCCAGCCTCACTCCCCTAATCTATAGGATGCCCCCCCTCACTCTCCTAATCTATAGGCTGCTGCCCCCCCAGCCTCACTCCCCTAATCTATAGGCTGCTGCCCCCCCAGCCTCACTCCCCTAATCTATAGGCTGCTGCCCTCCCCTCACTCCCCTAATTTAAAGGCTGCTGCCCCCCTTCACTCCCATAATCTATAGGATGCCCCCCTCACTCTCCTTATGTATAGGCTGCTGCCCCTCACTCCCCTAATCTATAGGATGCCCCCCCTCACTCTCCTAATCTATAGGCTGCTGCCCCCCCAGCCTCACTCCCCTAATCTATCACACCCCTAATCTATAGACTGCCCCCCCTCACTCCCTAATCTATAGGCTACTGCCCCACCAAAAAAATCTATAGGCTATCTCAAACCCTCCCCCAATCCCTCATTTACCTGATCTGTAGACTGTCTCTGCAGTTGCTGGCTGCACTCTGTGTTGTTCACCTGCGGTTTCAATCAGCAGAGAGATGCAGGGATAAGATGCAGCTTCCTATCCCTGTCTCTCTCCATACACGCGCCGGTATTGCAGTTCATTTTTAATTTCACACGAAAAATATCACAACAAGCTGAAAAATCCAGGGGGGTTGCTCTCCTTTCCCCTGCCATGGACGTCCATGCTGACATCCCCTCCAAATAGAGCTCAGGTTGGTGGTTCAGAGACCAAGAGATGCCCACTTGAAGTGTGACTAGATCACTGAATTTTCCAATGTGGTATACAGTCCATGATGATTCTGGCTCAAGGTTAGACTCCCTTATGTTCTGTAGGGTCCAATATTATAACTCCAATGCCACTTAGAGTGTAAATACCGTTTTTGGTTTTTAGGATGCTATGGGTTTAGATAATGTGGAGAGGATTTTGTCTTCCATGCTTGTAGATGTGCAAAAATGACTTCAGTCATGAAAACATTTGAGCTGTTTGAAAGTCTGCACAAGATATTTAGGATTTTTACTTTCAGCGGAAGTACAGATCCCCATTGTGATGTCACACCATGAAGGGAGGGGGTGTCTCATTCCTTAAGCTATAATGACTAGAATGAACGGGGATGTACAGGGAACTCCTTGATCCCAAAGGAATCAAACAAGCCTAAGGAATCCTGAAAGCATAAAAATTTTAAATGTTATGATTTGGCTCCCACTTTTCCCCCCTTTATATGGATATTTATAGAAAATTATTTACCTTCTTATTATCTTCTCCTCTCTTCTCATTGTATAGAGTTTTTATATTCTGTTGTTCTGCTCTATACAGGTCTGTTGATGGTTCTGGACATTCCTCAGGAACGAGGCCTCAGTTATCTGGACCATAAGTACTTGGATGGGTTGGATGTATGCCGCTTCCCACTTTTTAATTTCCTGCAGCCGCTGACTCTGGACTGGATGTACCTGACATATGTCATCATGCTTCTTGGTAGGATATATTTTTTTTCTGTATGTATTTTATAAAACATATGCCCTATGTCTTTGTCTCCTAAATGCCTCTGTTTTTTTTAAAATTATGTCAGAATATCAATTTCTGCAGGTCATTTCTCTCTTTCTTTCCAACTTAATCTTCATGTCAAATATTTAATTTTATATTCATTTAGGTGCACTGGGGATTACCCTGGGATGTTTTTACCGCCTAAGCTGCCTCCTTTTTCTCCTGCCATACTGGTATGTGTTTTTCTTGGACAAAACGTCCTGGAACAACCACTCTTATCTTTATGGACTGATTGGGTTCCAACTCACGCTGCTTAACGCGAACCGTTACTGGTAAGATTTGCTATTAAGTGATCTGTTCCTTAATGTTAAAGCAGCCTTGTCATGTTTTGTGTGGTTATTTGGCTATGGTTTTCCTTCCTTAATCTCCATGTAACGCATTGATTAGTCTCCACCCATTGCCACCTGCCCTTTTTTATATTTATTATCTTCAGTTCCTTGTGCTGGATCGCAATATCAATTCTGTTTTCTTCTGCGTGTGATGTCAATTTGCCAATCTGTGGGATTCCTTTTACTGATTGTTGGTAAATTAGCTTAGCAACTGGTCTGGAACCTTAGTTAAAGGAATACTTCACAGCCCAAATGGGCAAAAAATTGAGAAGCCTCTGAATCGGTGCACTCGTGTGTGTGTGTGTGTGTGTGTGTGTGCACACGTCTGATCAAAGGTCTGGAAGAGCTGAATGTACTGATGTGGGGGAGGAGGCAGTTATGTTCAAGTATGAGTTAAAAGTACTTGTGAAAGTGACAATTGCTCATCACAATTGGCACTTTTATAAACTGGGCTTAAAATAGGATACAGCTCACCCATAAGCACTTGAGCAAGCTAAAGTGCTTATGGGCTAAGGAGTGGTCTTTTAAGCTCTGCCTATTGTCAAGGTTTGTCAACTTGACTGCTAGACATATTAGTCCCTAAATTTCCTTATATATTTTATGAAAACTAAAAAGGTTAAAGCAATTCAGACAAAGGGAGCTGTATAGAAACATATTAGGTAAAGTTTATTTTTGGTGGCTGAGTTCCTTTAATAGCAAAATATATCACTTTTGTCATTGTCCTATATGGCAAAGAACAGATACTGGCTTTCTGCTAAATTCTGCAATTTATTTTTACCACTTTGTGGGTTAGTTAAATGGTTAAAGGACCACTATAGGCACCCAGACCACTTCAGTTCAATGTTCAGTTCAGTTTTAACCTTGCAGCTGTAAACATAGCAGTTTCAGAGAAACTGCTGTTTACATTGAGGGTTAATCCAGCCTCTAGTTAATGTCAGGCTCCTTGAAAGAATATAAATAGATTCACACAAACTAGAAAATACAGTATGTAAATATACCACCTATTGGAGATATAGGTATTGTGATTACACCTGTAAAACAAATAAAATACACATAGTGTTTTCCATACAATAAAAGTACACAATGCTTATAATATATGAGGAATAAACTCACAAGGAAGGAGCCTAATAGGCTCTATGTATATCGCCCTTGGGTGCCTATCCAGGCTCTCGATAAACTTCTTGTGAAGAACTCGAAATCGAGTAAAAATATAAATACAAATTTATTGGGTATACTTATTAAAATAAAATAAATAAAATATATATATATATATATATATATATATATATATATATATATATATATATATAGCAGGCAGAGTAGGCAGGCAGAATAGAAGGTATTGTTTAATATGGCAGCATAGCTGGGGGCACGCTGAGCTGGTATCTGAAGCGCATTACTCTATCTGTTTACCGGCGCAAATCTCTAAATGCTGGAAAGATTTTATTTAGCTTTTTAAACACTTATCTTGGGCATAATGTTTGTTACATTATATGACAGCGGTGCCGTTACTGGCTCATTTTGTAATGTGTCTGCTTCTTGAGTGAGATTAATCTCTGGTTTTCAAAGTAGGCATTCGGGGTTTTCTGCAGGTCAGTTAGGCTCAGGCATCCGTGACAGGGAGGGTGCAAAACCAAGGGAGCTGGCTAGGACTCCCTCCCTGTCACAGGTGTTTTCCTCATCCCAGGGTCTCTATTTAGCCTTGTACTGCAGAGAGCCTGACACTTCTTTCCCAAGTAGGTTAATCTCTTACAAGAGCAGACATTAGGCTGTTAGTGTAGGACCTGCCAAAGATGGGGTACATTGACGTTGTGGCAGGCTTATGCAATGTATGATCGTATAATGTAACTAAACCCCCATTATTTTTGCCTAGATTAGGTGTTTTTAAAAAAACAAATAAAATCTTTCAACATTGAAGTTGCTGTTTAGTGGATAGGTGAGTGCGCTTGGATCTTGTGTATTGTATTATTTGGCCCCCAGCAGCACCCCCATTTATGCATGTTAAGGTGAGTGCAGCCAACCCCCTCTTGTTTTATATATATTTGGGAGTCTAGCCAACTCCTTGGTTTTGCACCCCTCCCTGTCACAGGTGCCTCATCCCAGGGCCCTATTTAGCCTTGTACTGCAGAGAGCCCCAGATGGAATTTCTTTCCCCAAGTAGGTTAATCTCATAAGAGCAGACATTAGGCTGTTAGTGTAGGACCTGCCAAAGATGGGGTACATTGACGTTGTGGCAGGCTTATGCAATGTATGATCATATAATGTAACTAAACCCCATTATTTTTGCCTAGATTAGGTGTTTTAAAAAAAACAAATAAAAAATCTTTCAACATTGAAGTTGCTGTTTAGTGGATAGGTGAGTGCGCTGGATCTTGTGTATTGTACATTTGGCCCCAGCAGCACCCCCATTTATGCATGTTAAGGTGAGTGCAGCCAACCCCCCTTGTTTTATATATATTTGGGAGTCTAGCCAACTCCTTGGTTTTGCACCCTCCCTGTCACAGGTGCCTCATCCCAGGGCCCTATTTAGCCTTGTACTGCAGAGAGCCCCAGATGGAAATTTCCCCAAGTAGGTTAATCTCATAAGAGCAGACATTAGGCTGTTAGTGTAGGACCTGCCAAAGATGGGGTACATTGACGTTGTGGCAGGCTTATGCAATGTATGATCATATAATGTAACAAAACCCCATTATTTTTGCCTAGATTAGGTGTTTAAAAAAAACAAAAAAAAAACAAACAAATAAAATCTTTCAACATTGAAGTTGCTGTTTAGTGGATAGGTGAGTGCGCTGGATCTTGTGTATTGTATTATTTGGCCCCCAGCAGCACCCCCATTTATGCATGTTAAGGTGAGTGCAGCCAACCCCCTCTTGTTTTATATATATTTGGGAGTCTAGCCAACTCCTTGGTTTTGCACCCCTCCCCGTCACAGGTGCCTCATCCCAGGGCCCTATTTAGCCTTGTACTGCAGAGAGCCCCAGATGGAATTTCTTTCCCCAAGTAGGTTAATCTCATAAGAGCAGACATTAGGCTGTTAGTGTAGGACCTGCCAAAGATGGGGTACATTGACGTTGTGGCAGGCTTATGCACTGCATGATCATATAATGTAACAAAAACCCCATTATTTTTGCCTAGATTAGGTGTTTTTAAAAAAACAAATAAAATCTTTCAACATTGAAGTTGCTGTTTAGTGGATAGGTGAGTGCGCTGGATCTTGTGTATTATATATATATATATATATATATATATATATATATATATATATATATATATATATATATATATATATATATATATATATATTATATATATATATATATATATATAATATAGACAAAGATAAGGCAGGTATAAAAATCGAATATAACACAGTATTGCACCGCAATTATGGCCAAAAATTAAAAGCAGTGGAAATATATATAAGTATATATACAATATAAAAATATCGCCAACAGGAAAAGTCCCAATAAAAGTCCATTGTGAAGCAAACGCGTTTCAGCCATCAATGGGGCCTTACTCAGTGCTGTGTGCCTGGAGCAACTTCAGGGTTTAAATAACCCCCTTGATGTGTCTAAATCTATTCAGCTGTGGTTCAAAAATGCCGCCGATCAAATCACTTCCGGTTTTGGCAAAACGCACGTGACTTCCGGTTTGACATGGTCACGTGTTGTTTCTGCGTTCCACCAGCGCGTGAGGGAGCTGAGCAGACCGCTCAGAGGAAGTGCTCCCTCGCCAGCCGCCCGCCCGCCCAGCGCTGCCCGCCCGCTCGGCATGTCTGTTAGCTGCAAGGCTAACAAGACATTTGCCCTGGGCATTTGGGGGCGGCTTTTTTTGCCGCCCCCTGGAAAATGCCGCCCAAGGCAAATGCCTTGTTTGCCTCGCGGCTAAATGCCCCTGCTGTAGGGTCAGGGCTCGAGTCCTGCAGGTACGTGTGGGAACAGCGTTCCTGAAGTCTTTTTACAGCAGGAACGCCGTTCCCGTTGCTCCTGCAGGCACTAACCAAGGGGAAGCAAAAAATGCCGCCCCCAAATGGCCATCTGATGGACGCTCCCGGCGGGCTCCTGTCTTCTGGTCAAACGCGGCGAGGGAGCTGTGTTCTCTCTCCTCTGCTCCCCGTGCGCCGTTTGCTGATGCCGGGAGCCGGAATATGATTTCATATTCTGTCTCTCGGCATCAGTAGACAGCCCATGCGGCGAGAGAGAACACAGGTCCCTTGCAGCTTCTGACCGGGAGACAGGCGCCCGCCGCACTAAAGCCCCACTGGACCCCAGGGACCTCCTCTCCAAGTAGGGAGGCTGGGTGGACATTTTAAAAAATAATAATTTGTGTGTTTCTGTGAGTGTGTATATGTCTGTGAGTGTGTGTGTGCGCGTGTTTATAAATGCATACAAGTGTATATTATTATTTTTTGGGGGGGGGATCTTGGGTGAATTCTCACACTTTATTCCCCAGGACTTGATCCCTGTGCAGCCCCCCCACAGACACACACGCGCAGTCCCCCCACAGACACACACAGAAAAAAAAAGAATATAAAATAGAAAACATATATGTAAATTTAAGTACATCTTAAAGGGGAAAAAAAGAAAATCAGACTTGAGCTATAAAATTAGTTACTGTGGTGGGCGGTAAGGAAATTTTACCATGAACAAAGATAAAAAAGTGGGCTATAGGTAATAAAAGGTTGACTACCCCTGGTCTATACACTAAAACTGCTGCACTAAGTGAAATTTATTTTGTTGTATTAATGTATTACTTAAAATATACATGGCATGTAAAAACATGCCACTGTACTGTAGGTTATAACATCTATCTATTTTATATATTGTTACCTAAACAGCTAAAAATGTATATGTTCAATCTTTTATGTATTGTGTTCTGTTCAAACTTGTATACTGTTAGCATCAATGTTAACATTTTCAATATGCTGTAATAATGAAATCAATACATTTACCTTTGCAATATGTGTAGTAGGTGACTACAAGCTAGATAGGATTGAATACATGTAGTAAATGGAGAACAGAATGCCAGGTAAGATGTGCTTATGTATTAGTCTACATTCTGTGCTATGTCCTCATTACATTCAGCTTGTCATCTTACCATTTTAATTGTAGATATAGAAGCAACGTAAACTGTATTAAATACACATACCTTTTGAATTTCTCTCTGCTATCCATTTTATTTCAGACTTTGAATTGCAATGGGTTAAAAGGGAATTTCCAAGTAGAAAAATACCTAAGTTAGACAATGTTTCCAAATGATCTATTTCCAGTTTGTTTTTCACTTCACCATAAGTCGCTATTAAGTGAATAAACCCTGTAGAGTTCTACATTACTTAATGAAAAGAGAAGTTGTTCATTCTCAATATGCGTTCTCTCTTTCTATATTAAACCTTCTAATACAGCTTCAAGAACTGCATGTACAGTTTGTAATTTTTGTGATCTCTCCATTTATATATGTGCCCTTATGTATTTTTTTTTATTGTTTTCCACAGGTCTATAGATGGTTTTCTAAATCCCCGCAAGCGAAATGCACATGTCCCACTTTGGAATTACACCTTGCTCAGGACACAGGTAAAAACTCCCCTTTTTTTTGAAAAAAAACAAACCTTTTCCTGGCTAATCATGGCAGCATCACTTATGGGTAGCTCCTCCCTTAGCAGTCACAGGGCAGGAATTAATTAGATTAATTAATCAGACTGATAGTATAAAGAGTCCCTCCTCCCCCTACACCTCAGTCTTTTTTCCTGTCCTTAGCAAGTTCTACAGGACTTTTTATGTTTGTTTTATGGCCACCTTCCTGCATTTGTCGTGGGTTCGTTCCAAATGAAGTTCAGCCTCTCTTCATTTGAAGGACCCAGTAAACAGCCTGCATGAGCAGGACTAACTGGGTCAGGTTCAGTGTAAGTACTGAACTGCAGCGTGGGAAGTAAGTGTTTGAGGCACTGTTTTCTGTTACTGCTGGGGTTGGTTTTCCTTAAAAATTCCACTTGGTCTCGACCTGCCCCTGCTAATTGGGGTCTTAAATCCCCCCCCATTCCTTCTGGCAGTATTTGGTCCATACTTATGATGAAGGCACTTTTATTGTGTACCTTTGTGGCTCTGTTCCTTGCTTTCTGGTCTTCTATCCGTGGCAGGGGCTGTGCTGGCTGTTCCTTCTCCCTGGGGCTCCATGTGAGTTCGGGCTTTGAGGGGCTGGAATGCATTATGCGTTCCAGTCAACAGTCTGATGCTTGTGACCGGATCCGGCGAAACCGGAAGTGATTTGCATGCCGGTCGCGAGCGTTTGGAACGCATAGCATGCGTTCCAGCGCTCTGCGCATGCGCGGACAGGGCGATCAGCTGTTCGCTGCCCGGACCTATTTAAAGCCTCTGATTCAGCTGCCTTAGCGCTGTATCTGCTGTTCTTATATTGGTTTTCCCTGGGAAAGTTTTGGTTTCCAGTTTGGGTTCCAGCTGCTTCTCTCTGCTACCTGGCTGCATGGTGGAAGTTCTGCTGTTTAAGGTAGGATTGCTGTTTTTACTGCTGATTGGAAGTTTGCCTTTTGTCAGCTTGCCTCTTTTATCCCTTTGGGAAATTAGGTCTTGAATATTCCTTTGGTTCTTCTTTATAGTATGGATTCTCCCTCTGCCTCTGCAAGATCCCTCTCTAGAAAATATAGGTGAGCCATTTATAATTTTTATTGGGGGAGGGGGGGTTGTTAAAAGAGTGCCATACTGAGCCTGTAATATATGTAATATATGGCTTTATTCCAGCCCCAGCGTTCATTTGGATTCTCCAGCAAGAAAATCACGGGAAAAGTCAAATAAATGCATTAATTGTTCATCGCCTGCTTCGAATGGAAGGAACCATTGCAGGGAATGCTTGTTGGAAGTCGCAGACACCCCCAGTAGGGGTTCCCCACAGGACGACCTTAAGCTCTGGATTTCCCAGGCTATTGCTGAGGGCTTTAAGGCTACCACGGGACCTAGTGGTCTGAGTAAGAGACGCAGAGCGGAACCTCAGTCTTCCAGCTCTGATGAGGACCCTGATGTGTGGGAGGTCTCGGATGAAGGTGAGGAGGAAGCTGAATATGCCTCCAGGTCTCTTGACTCCAGGTCTGTTGAAAGACTTATTACCCTTCTTAAAGACACCCTTAGTCTCACTGAAGAAAGATCTGAATTGAAAGAGGCTGACAGGTTCTTTGAGAACCTAAAGCCTAACAGACCTACTTTCCCGGTGCATGCATCAATCAGGGATATGATCCTTCAGGAATGGAATAAGCCAGAAAAGAAGTCCACCTTAAAAAATAAGTTCACAAGGGTTTATCCGTACTCTACAGTGGACTGCTGCCTGTGGAACTCAGTTCCTAAAATTGACGCTGCAGTGATCCATATGGCTAAGAAAACTACGCTGCCTATTGACTCCATGGCAAATCTCAGGGAGCCTATGGAGAAACGTATGGATGGAGATCTGATTAAAGCCTACTTGGCCCTAGGGTCCGCCCTTCATCCGGCAGTGGCACTGACTACTCTCTCCAGAGCCTTGAAAGTGTGGCTCGCTAGTCTGAAGGAAGAAATTGATCGGGGTGTCCGTAGGGAACATCTGTTGGAGAGCCTCAAGGACTTTAGCCTGGCCACGGAATTCTGTTCAGAAGCCTCCCTGGACATCACTCGCATGATTGCCAAGAGTATGGCCCTGTCTGTGGCTTCTAGAAGGGCCTTGTGGCTTAATCGTGGGGTGCTGTCTATGCTTCAAAGGCTTGCCTGTGTGGCCTTCTGTTCCAAGTGGATCTCCTTTTTGGGAAAATCCTGGAAAATGCTATTCGAAAAGGCGTTTTTACCTCAAGTTGGCAGGAAGAGTTTTCCCCCCTCCTGGAAGACCAAGCGCTTCAAGGATAGGTCCTTTCGGGACAGCAGGAGCTATAAACCTGGAAGGGAATTTTCCATGAATTCTTCATGGAAATCCTTTTTGCACTCTTCTTCCAATAAGGCTTCCAGAGGAAGGGGTGCTAGGATCTCGGGGAAGAACTTCTGAAGGTCTCCAGGCCCGTTCGGGGATGGTGGGAGGAAGACTGAAGTTCTTCTACCCCGTGTGGGCCAGCAATATTTTGGACCTATGGGTCACTTCCATCATAAAGGAAGGTTACAAAATAGAATTTTCATCTTACCCGAAAACCGCATTCTTCAAAAAATCAAGGGTCTCGGTAAGCATCAAACAAAGGGCCATGAGGTCCTGCATTTCTGCACTCCTGGAGCAGAAAGTGGTGGAAGAAGTTCCAAGATGAGAAAGGTTCCGGGGGATTTACTCCACAGTGTTCTTGGCCCCAAAACCACAGGGAAAGTGGCGTCTCATCTTGAACTTGAAAGGCGTAAACTCCATGTTCGATATAAGGACGTTCAAAATAGAATCCTTGAGGACCATCTTCAAGTGTGTCAAAAGAGGAGACTGGATGACCTCAATAGACTTGAGGGACGCCTACTATCATATCCCAATACATAAAGATCATATACAGTTTCTCAGGTTTTGGGCGCTAAGAAGGCACTTTCAGTTCCGGGGACTACCGTTTGGCCTCAGCCAGGCGCCAAGAACGTTCTCAAAAGTTCTGGTCACTTCAATAGCCTTTATAAGGGAGAAAGGTATCGAGATCTTCCATTACTTGGACAACATCCTTATTTTAGGTTCATCTCAAAGGATTGTAGCTCAGCATACGTCGGTGGCAATGTCCATTCTCCAAGACCATGGTTGGCTTCTGAACGTAGAGAAGAGCTCCCTCGTCCCTGCACAATCTATCATTTTCCTGGGTGCAGTGGTGATCACCGTGTCTGCCCATGTGTTCCTGTCTCCAGAAAGGGTAACAAATATCAGAGACAAAGTACGGGAGCTACAAGATCTCAAATCTGCATCGGCAAGAGAAGTCATGAGTCTCCTGGGTTCCTTGACATCAACAATAGGGTTGGTGAAGTGGGCCCAGTGGAAGTTCTGTCCGGTCCAGGATTGCTTCCAGTTCGACAGGGTGACAACAGATTGGGAGCAGAGGATCTCTCTTCCCCTGCCCGTAAGGAAGGGGTTAAACTGCGGTGGAAAAGCGAGAGGAATCTGACAACAGGCTTCCCGTTGGAAGAACCCCCTTGGAAGGTTATTACGACAGATGCCAGTTCTTTTGGATGGGGTGCCCACTTCAGTTCTGTATGGACTCAAGGGAAGTGGACCCGAGAAGAGAGTCGCTTACACTCAAATTTAAGGGAACTGAGAGCGGTTTCCAAGGCCATATTGAGATTCCTGCCAAGGATCATAAATTCTTGGGTTCTAATCAAAACAGACAACCGAGCGGTGGCCTCATATGTGAACAACCAAGGTGGCACGAGAAGCAGGTTGCTCCTGGAAGAGCTAGCTCCCGTAATGACAATAGCCATGACCTATCTTCAAGGTCTGAAGGCAATCTATCTTCCAGGTTCGGAGAACGTGACGGCAGACTTCCTCAGCAGGAAGGAAATTCTTCCGGGAGAATGGCAACTTCACCCGGCGATCTTTGCAGAAATTGCCCATCGTGGGGCATGCCCCAGATCGACCTGATGGCATCCTCTCAGAATAACATCCACCCAGACTGTCAGGCACTGGGCCAGGATGCTCTCTCTCTTCCTTGGTCATTCGATCTGGGGTATGCTTTCCCTCCCCTACCCATGATACCCAGGTTCCTCCAGAAGGTTTGGTCGGAAGGCAAGAAAGTTATTGCCATAATTCCAATTTGGCCTCGGAGGCTGTGGTTTCCCCTATTGACTATGATGAGCCAAGAACAGCCTTGGCCTCTCCCGGTGATGGAGGATCTGCTCACACAGGGCCCAGTATTCCATCCTCATCTGGAACGCCTCAAATTGGGGGTATGGGTCTTGGAAAAGAAAGGCTTTAACTGCTAGGTCTCTCAGATGCAGTGGTCAATACCCTTCTGCTCTCTAGGAAAGCTTCTACTTCCTCATGCTACCATAGGATCTGGGATGTGTTCCGGGCATGGGCTTCGTCCAACAAGGGGGCCTGGATAAGGGCCTTAGCCTCAGCACTCTGAAAGGTCAGTCTTCGGCGCTTTCAGCTTTGTGCAACATCTCATGGACTTCGGATCCTTTGATCTCCAGGTTCTTCAAAGCGGCCTTCGGGTTGAGGCCTCCTTCCAGATCTACTACCCCTCCTTGGGACCTTCCTCTGGTGCTCAATTATCTCACTGAGGATCTGTTTGTTCCTCTTGAAAGTTTGGATGCTACTCTCCTGACGTATAAAACTTTGTTTTTGGTGGCAATTACTTCCGCAAGACGTATTTCAGAGATTAAGGCATTTTCTACACCATCTTCTTGTCTACTTGATTCTATTAGGATAGGGTGTGTCTGAAACCAAAACCTGAGTTTCTTCCTAAGGTGGTTTCCCAGTTTCATCTCTCTCAAGAAGTGGTTCTCCCATCATTTTACCCCAACCCCTCTTCTCAGGAGGAGGTTAGATGGCAACGTTTGGATGTCATGAACTGCCTGTCTGCGTACCTTAAGCGTTCTGAGTCTTTCCGTAAAACTGACCAACTCTTCGTTTTGCCGTTGGGAGCAAGGAGAGGTGAGGCGGCTTCTTTATCTACGTTGAAATGTTGGATTTCTCTGGTGATTAGGAAGGCATATATCTCTAACGGTCAATCACCCCCACGGGAGATAAGAACTCATTCTACTAGAGCATTATCTACTTCATGGGCTAATTGGGCAGAGGTTCCATACGATGATATTTGCAGAGCAGCCACCTGGTCTTCTCCGATGACGTTCATGAAGCACTACATACTAGATGTGGATTCTCCTTCCACCTCCTTTGGAAAGAGTGTCCTGTCTACGGTTTCTTTATCCCGTTGATATTAAACTTTTCTTTGCTGCATGTGATTCAGTTTTGTGTAATTTCTTGGATTATTATTCCCACCCTATATTTCTGTTAAGCTTGGGTATTACCCATAAGTGATGCTGCCATGATTAGCCAGGAATAGAGAAAATTTTATGACAAGCTTACCATAATTTTTCTTTTCCTGGCTATTTCTCATGACAGTATCAGGGTTCCCGCCTGTTCTTTTATTTCAGCTTTATAATTGGACTGAGGTGTAGGGGGAGGAGGGACTCTTTATACCATCAGTCTGATTAATTAATCTAATTAATTCCTGTCCTGTGACTGCTAAGGGAGGAGCTACCCATAAGTGATGCTGCCATGAGAAATAGCCAGGAAAAGAAAATTACTGTAAGTTTGTCATAAATTTTCTCTATTTCTGAATAATTGGCATTTCAAACCACTTCCTTATTTATATTTTTTTAAATTTATTTTGTATTCTTTCAGATTTTTATTGTGTACTTTATTGCTGGTATCAAGAAGCTGGATGCTGATTGGGTTGAAGGTTATTCAATGGGGTCTCTGTCTCGACATTGGCTGTTCGACCCTTTCAAGTAAGTCACATTAAAATGGTTTTTGTTTATTTATATATATACATATATTTATTTTTTTTGTGCGTTTTAAACTGTGTGCTTGTTGTAAGTGAACAATTACAAATCTAAAGACTCGTTGTAAGTGAACAATTCCAATGTATTAAATAGTATCCCTATTTATAACCCTTGGAATAACACAAAGTATAACTGTACAGTGCTTTTTCAGGAATGTGAGATTGCACGTAACAATAGGTATCTTTCTATCTATTTTACAGATTTTATAAAATTTAGTAATGTCATACTGTCCCGGGAAAAACAGTTGATTTACACAAGCTTACTATGAAAATTATATTCATGTCCATGTGCAATTATTCTGTTAAGTTATAAAATTGTTTACATCTGTATTTTTTTTTCAGGTTTTCTGGCGATTTAATGTTTTGGGGTAGTTCTTGTTTGAAATATTATAATGCAATAGCAGTCACAGTTCTCTTCCCTGAAAATACAGTGACACAGAAGACACCGTAGAGTGGTTAATTTATGATAGCATAAAACTCAAATAATGTTTATTGATAGATGTCCTTTATTATTACAGAGAGCATTGAGTTTGAACATGGATCCTTTGTTGAAAGTCTAGACGGAAAATGTTTCAGAATTGTAGATTATGCTAACGTAGTGTACCTATAATCTTAATTTTAGTAATGACAGAAGGCGAATATTTGCATAACTCTCTTTACTGAAACTCCCAGCAGCACAGATCATAAGAGAACAACCAATCAAAAAACACTTCAATGTTATACAAAAGGACCTGTCACACACATCATTTCCTCTTTCTTTGTAGCGAACTAATAAAGGTAAGGTTAAAATGTCAGAAAAGTCCAAACATCAAACAAACACAATCAAACATAATTTAGATAAACTAATCAAAACTATAGCCGTGGAAACGTCCATAACAGCCGTGGATTGCAGAATAGATGTAGAAAGCACCGATCATACTGAAAAGAAACAGAAAGAAGTGAAAGGCATCTGAAGTGACATTTTGTCTAACATACTATAACTGTCTATCTACTACTTAAGTTAGATGTAAATTAAATATAACAGTCATGCCTAGCCGGTAGAAACAACTATAACAATCTATCTAGCTACTAGAAGAAGATAACACTATACAATACATATAATAGCACCATATATGATCATAGAATATCCTAATATCATAGAAAATAAATTACAGAAATATTGAATTATAGAAATCCCAGGGTGGGGAGAGACAATAGGGTGGGGTATATTCGCCTCCTGTCATTACTAAAAGTAAGATTATAGGTACACTACGTTAGCATAATCTACAATTTTATCACATGACAGGAGGCTTCATATTTGCAGTTTTAACGCTGAGAATTTAGAAAAGTGAAATAAGCGTGACAGGGACTGTCTGTTATAAAACACATGGAGAGTAGTTTCTTGTGACCAGTCCGCACATTGCTTGATATTGGTTAATGATGCGCAAGCTAACAAGCTCGTGACGCCGCAGCTCCGTGATCTGAGAGTGCACTGAAGCAGGAATCTATTCCAGCCAAGGAATACCCCGGGAGGTATTCTGCCAGTAGTGTGATCTTGCGGGCGAGGCAAAATTTGTATATGTCTTCTGCCGCCTCCATCAAGGATCGGGATCTGGCTCTGCCCAGTCCGTTGGACCGTTGAAAATTGTCCATGCAGAGCAGGGTGACACAGTCGGAAAGTCCCTTCCGGTGTTGGTCCAAATCTAGCCGGCCATTCCATGCTTGCATGTGGAGTAGCCACCAACGAAGTTCTGGCCGCATCTCTCCCGATAGGGGTATCCAATGGTCGTATGAGTGACCCACATGCAAATGTTTTGCCTTCAGTCGTAGCAGACCTTTGTAGTGCAGAGACCCCGGTAATATCACCTGGGTCAAGGAGGAAGAGGGCCCACTATCCAGGCGATGAATCGCAGAGGAGCCGGATCCGTGCGTAAGATCCGTCGAATCTCCTTTCGGATGGATGCAATCTTTGTGGCAGATGGTCAGAGGACTCAATCTCTTGAGTCTATCTCGAAACCGAAAGACTGTATGACCAGTGAATGACTTTTGTCTGGTCACCACGAAGCCCAAAGACTCCAGAAAGTGAACGACAAAGTACATCTGTGAGTGCAGTCTGGATTCTGCATCGCAGAAGATCAGCAGGTCGTCCAGGTAGACAAGGCAACAGATGCCCATATTGGAAATGGGCCATGACAAGCTTCAGTAGCTTCGTGAGGCACCATGAACCAAACTGAGGCCGAAAGGCAGGCACGTAAATTGACATGACCGACGACCCCATACGAACCTAGAAAGCAATGACTCGTAGACGCCACAGGTGCCAAACGATACGCGTCCTTGAGATTGAGATGAGAGAGCCAATCAATGACCGGCAGGAGATCCCAGAGTAGATGTATACGTTCCATTATGAAATGTCGATAGACGACATAGTCATTGAGCCAGCGGTGGTTGATGACTGGCCGAAAGACTCCCGAGTTTTTCGGACCAGGAAGATGTTGCCGTAGAAGCCCCAATTGTCCAGGGCGAATTGTGCCACGCCTTTGGCGACTAGAGAGCGAATCTCTTTGTCTATGAGGAGTCAATGGTCTCTTGAAACATGCAACAGAGGTGGTCAGGTGGTTTGTATGGGTTGGGAGTAGAACTCGATGGTATAGCCCTAAATAGTCTGCAGGATCCAAGCATCTGCCGTGATCTCCAATCAGTTCTTTAGGAAAGAAGGCGGGCGATTGTGAAAAGGGTCTGGGTCCAGTGGACCAAAATCGGCTAGTGGCTCGGCCCCTTTGCCAACCAACCCTCCCAAAAACACCCCTGCCAGGTGGTGGTCTGAAGCCGTGCTTGAGTGAAGGTTGGGCTTTGGTCAGCGTCGTGAACAGGTTGACCTGTCGCTTAAACTCTGCTATAAAAGGCTCACCGAGTAGGAGGAGTCACTTTGCCAAGGGTCCCAGTTCTTTGGAGCCCAATTCCAAGAGTTTTGAGTCCATCCTCAACAGTGCTGTCTCGCATCTCACTGTACAGATGGTCGCATTGGCGTTACCCATCAGGCAGAGCGATGGGCCCATCCTCGGAAGTCATTTGGGTCCAACTGGGTGCGCTGTGAGAGGGCCAGATCCACAAAGAATAGGATGGGTCTAGTAGCTCCAACGGCTTGACTTGAGCACCTTCTCGATGCCCTTCCTGGGGTCTCTGCCAACCTGGGACATGAAAACCACTTCTGTAGTGTCAAATACCAGAGTGATAGCCACCTTTTTTGGGAGGGGGCGGGGGCATTCCGTTTGTAGCTGTGCATTATTGCAGGTCCAATAATGGACGAATTGTGCCAGATGGTCTGGCATTGTCCATACCGACAACCTGGTGTGTTGTATAGTGCGTGGATCGAACATGGGTACCCACATTTTGTCCAGAAAAATCCCCCTCCGGTGGTCTTGGGCGGAGGGGTGCAGGTACCCTTTTCCTGATATTCGTCAACTAGCATGGTTTCAATCCCGTACTTGGAGTCGGAGTGGGTTAGGTTTTGCCAGTCCACTCTTTCAAAATGCTTGCCCCTAGACTTGCTCCCCTAGACTTGCTCTGGGACCTGGAACCCATCCCGTGACGTTTGGGCCCTGTCTGGCTCAGTGGACTGTCAGATACCAGTGCGGCATCAGTCTTGTGGCGCCATTTGCTGAGGTTTAGGCAGGACCCGTAGTAGGGCCTTTTAAACTGAGGCCGCAACAGCGGCATTAATCATTGCCTGAAAGTCCGGTGTTGGTGAAGGTGTGTCGCTCATGGTGGTCGGTCTGCCTGTAAGAGGACAGCGACCATCAGTGGGAGCAAGATAAATGGAGAGGCACGTAAGCCCTCCTAGCCTGGGGCTCACCCAGGGATCAGATTCACGGTATAGCCATCTACAATGAAAGTGCCATGAAGAGGGGCTCACCCTCTAGGTGTACGAAAGGGGGTTTCTCTTAATTGAATGGGAGAAGTGGTAGTCTCAGAATTATGGGGTTGATCACCAGCTTAATTCCCCATCCGGGGTGATATTGAGGGGTTAACCTCGTAATTGTTGCCAAGGTGACGTATCTTCGAGGGGTTCACCCCAGTTACAAGTCAAAGCTGTACCTCCCTGGTCCGCAATAAAACAGGTGTACACCACATGTGTGATAGTTCTGCATGGTGTGATTATGTATCTCCAGACAACATAAAGGATGTGGGAGATCCCTGTAGGGCATGTGCAGAACACCTGTGAGCCCCCAAATATCCTCACCCCAGGTGGTGTGCCATGAGAGCACCCACGTATGGCAAATAATGTAATCAAAAAGGCATATTCTATATGGCTGTTAAGCCCAACATGGTCCCACATAGCTACACCTCAGTGTATGTCAATTTCTGTTGTGTCAGCAAACAGCATGTAAAAGCCCAGCACGTATTGAATAACTTGTAGTAGGTACTTTAACTGTGGGTGAGAAATCAGCACTGCAGTCACGAGTGGGATGGCACAGTGTATATGGCTGTGAAGCTCCATAAATTTCCACATAGCAATTACACCTCAGTGTATGTCAGTCTGTTGTCCACAAACGGCATGTATCAGCCCAGCATGTATGTGTATTCACTTGTAGTAGGTACCTTTAACTGTGGATGAGAAATCAACACTGCAGTCTCCAGTGGTGAGTGTGGAGCCTCAGATACAGGTTGAAGGTAAGATATTTAGTCCATATTGCAGTAATACCAAACTGGAAGGAAAAAAGAAATGGCCAACGTTAATCCCGCGGCACTCGCGCATGCAACGATTGGTGTGACCAGCGGTTTTGCGGCCCCGCCGCTCGCAGAAGAATCACGCTGAGCACCCTCCGCTAGCCCCAAAGAAATATAAACAGGCTGAAAAGAGCACGATGGGCGCGATCAGCATGAGGGGCAAGGGCCAGGACAGTCCCAGGCTCCAGGAGAGAAGGAGTAGGCCTCAAAGAGTGTTCTGAAAAGCAGGTAAAAAGGGGAAACAAGTATTAGCAGAACGGTAGTGGGGACAAGCTAACAAGAACAGCAGGGTAAATACCTATATAATACAAATATAGCAACCTTTGTTTAAAGTGAAATAACACACAATGAGAGAATACAAACTATAAATCAGTTTACCTAGTAAAACAATCTTCAAAATGTAGAAAGATATATCCGCTAATAAAGCAATCTTAAATACCAGTGATTCATTACCCAGAATACAGAATAAATCTGACAAGTAACCGTAAACAGTCACAAGGACAAAATACTCTAACCTGTGCGTGGCTGGAGCAGCAAAGAAAGAGGAAGTGATGTGTGACAGGTCCTTTTGTATAACATTGAAGTGTTTTTTGATTGGTTGTTCTCTTATGATCTGTGCTGTTCTGTTTCAGTAAAGAGAGTTATGCAAATATGAAGCCTCCTGTCATGTGATAAAATTTCTGCTATCATCTGTGAGTTAATGCCATCACTAGGTGGTGCTGTTTGCTTACTTCTGACATTGCACAGGCTGCCCAGCTCCTGCAGTTTCTCTCTTAGACATATTCTTCTGTAGCTTTCAGTATACAGTATCAGACTTTCCAGAACACAGGAACCTTAACCTTCTGATATTGATGCAGAGTAGCCTAGAATTCTCAGCCTTAAAGGACCACTCTAGGCACCCAGACCACTTCAGCTTAATGAAGTGGTCTGGGTGCCAGGTCCAGCTAGGGTTAACCCATTTTTTTAAATAAACATAGCAGTTTCAGAGAAACTGCTATGTTTATAAATTGGTTAATCCAGCCCTCAAATCCGCTAGAGGCGCTTGCGTGATTCTCACTGTGAAAATCACAGTGAGAACACGCAAGCGTCCATAGGAAAGCATTGTAAATGCTTTCCTATGAGACTGGCTGAATGCGCGCGCATTCAGCCGAAAGGGAGGAGAGGAGGAGGATCGGAGGTGGAGAGCTCCCTGCCCGGCGCTGGAGAAAGGTAAGTTTTAACCCCTTTCCTCTCCCCAGAGCCCGGTGGGGGCACCCTAAGGGCACTATAGTGCCAGGAAAACGAGTATGTTTTTCTGGCACTATAGTGGTCCTTTAAATATACAAAGTAAAGTCTTTACAAGGAACAGTAGTGTAAATGTGTTCCATGGAAAAACAAAATAAGACAGTTTTGAATATTCCCTTATTTACAATGTGTAGACTTGTAGTGGTGAGCTCTGGCAGTCCAGAGGTTGGAACACCTGGGGTATGGTTGCCTTGTCTTGTTGAAGTGAGGGCCTGGCCACGCTAAACCTGCAGCTCTGGTGGAACAACACAGACTCTGCAGCTCGGTGTTCCATGCATAAAAGTGAAGCAGAGTGTAGTGCATGTCTCTCCATTGTAGAATGGCAGAGCAGAGTTGTGAGATGTACTGTCAGAAAGTAACATTTCCCTATATTTCTGCTACAGACTGATCATGTCAGAGGAGATGACCAGCCTTGTCATTGTGCACTGGGGAGGCCTTATTCTGGACCTGACAGCCGGTTATCTGCTCTTCTTTGATGTCACTCGCCCCGCAGCCTTGTTTTTTGTCTCTTATTTCCACTGCATGAACTCACAGCTCTTCAGTATTGGTGAGAGATAAATGCATTTAGCCTCCAGCAATGTTTACACCTACTTCCCTCCTTATTAGTAAACTTAGCAGTCTATTCTCCAGGCTTTTGCACTGCACATGGATACTTTAACCATTAATGCTTTCCACTGCAAATGAAAACACCACCCATGTCATTATACTGCACATGTAGTATAATGACATGAACATCCACGAGGGAGAAGAAACCATTCACTGTACATGTAACTCCCATTCCATACAACATAAAACAGGATAAGCTATTGTTTGCTCTTACGAAACACACTGCTCTTCCAGATAGTTATACTTTCCAATCTTTTAAATTGTTTTCCTATATTGATATTTAGATCTTAGTTCTGCCTCCTTTCAGTCTGTAGGAAGTCCCTGTCCAAAACATTACACATTTCCACACCCGCATATTATTGTGTTATTTTCTCATTGTATTTGTTCATACTTCTGCCCCTCCCAACTGTGGGCCCACTTCCAATGTTATTGTTCAATGTCTTCTGTAAGCTGTTTTTACTACCAGCTGGTAGATATTTGCATCCATAAAATACTGACAGGTTTCCAACATCCAGGACCATGAAAAAGTCTACCCCTGCAGATTTTATGCATGTCTTGGCATCCATCTATGTTGTCACATTAGAAAACTTAACTGGACAAAAATAAAAGCTACGTTCTGTATATGCACACTTCAACGGTAATAGGCTTGAGTAGGACAGAGATAGAAACGTTGTACTAAGCTAAATATATAGAGGTGTGATGAGTCTCTGCATCCAAGTTGTTGCCCTAACTTGTGAGGTTAAGTTTGTAATGTAAATTATTAGTTTAAATGGCAACGTGAATTTAAATATTTATTTCCTTTTTTTTTTTTTTTGTATGGCACCAACTCACTTAAAAGCTCTCATTTCCTATTATTTTCTGTGGGAGAATAAACTTTTCAGCTGGGAATTACTACTACCACTACTCACTAACTTTTGTGACATTTGTGTCCATATCTTTTGGAGTGTGTTTCCTGTGTGTATAATATCAGGTCCCTCTGGTTAAACTTTTGTCCTTTGTGCTCTAGGCATGTTCTCTTACACCATGTTGGCCACAAGCCCGTTGTTTTGCTATCCTGACTGGCCTCGTCGACTTGTGGCTAAGTCATCGTCCTGCCTGCACTGGCTTCTGCCCGCCACACAGCCCCCACAGGAGAGTGCGGCCTGTGTGTACCCAGGACGCAAAGGCAAATCACAATCCAGATTGCGCCATAAAATAGGAGCGGCCTTCACTGTGCTCTACATAATAGAACAGCTGTTCTTGCCGTATTCACATTTTATTACACAGGTACAAATGATTTTTGTTTTCCAAAATGGGTCAGTCTAGTTTTGTTTTTTGCTCAGGAAAGGAGGGTCTGATTCTGACATTACAGTAGAATATTCAAACATGGTATCCTCATTTCTAACATATAGACACTTGTATTATGACTGAGCTATAGATTCTAGGTGCGGCCATTGCTACAAAGGCTAATTTCTATACTGTTTCTTTTATTCTGCCTTGTTCAATTGCATCATTCTTGTATTCGCCCCATGCATTAGAAGTTATCTTCCATTTAAGGGGCTTGATTGTCATCTATTTTTGTGTGAACTGAATAGTTTTGTCTTTTTTTTCTCAGGGTTACAATAACTGGACAAATGGCTTGTATGGTTACTCGTGGGATATGATGGTTCACTCCCGATCACACCAACATGTAAAAATAACCTATAAAGATGGAATAACCGGGGAAATTGGGTATCTTAATCCTGGGGTAAGTCTCCCTGCATGCAAAGCTCACACAATATCTGCGCCTACAGTCCTGAAAAATATGAGACGGAACGCCAGACTTTTCAGGGAATCTTTAGATTAATATTTTGGAGCCGGTTTATATTGGCTTGAGCAAATGCGAGTGCAGTGACTGTGAAATTCAGAGTGTGATGTAACCCACTTCTTTCAAAAACACTGAGCAGTGTTATTATATATTTTATGTTGTTGTTATTTTTTAGATCTCCGATGATTAGGAGGGTAACTTTGTTTGCATTCAGAGTGCACTTTCACTTTTGTTTTAGTGTGATTTGTAGAAATTCTATGCTTGCAGCCTTGTTTTCAATCTCATAATATCTAGTTTCTGCTAATGTAAGTTGTCAACCCTCATTTCATCCTCTTCTAGTTCATCCTTTCTGGGTGACCTTGAATTTCCTTTCATGCATGTTTTGACATGTTACACTGTGTATTCTTTATTCCAAGCCTCCAAGAATTGTTGACGGTGCATTATCGATCTATTAATTAAGCGATTTGTATTTTTGAATTGAGGCAAAAACTAATTAAAAAAAGGTGTGCTAGATTATTACTGTTACATCTTTCATTGTTCTCCCTGGGAAAAACATTAACCTGAGAGTGTATGGCCGAGGTTTTGTTTACAGTTAGAAAGCACAAGCAGAACCAGGTAATTGTCTGCTGCCACTGTGTCCTCTCTTTCACCATGTGACTTTCATCTACACCCTGTATTCCTACCAGGTGTTTACCCAGACACGACGCTGGAAGGACCACGCAGATATGTTGAAGCAGTATGCCGTGTGTCTTCATGGTCTTTTGGGGGCATATAACATTTCTGAGCCTGAGATCTACTTTGACGTGTGGGTTTCAATCAATGACAGGTTCCAGCAGAGGTAAGCAATAGTTGATTTGCATGACAGGGTGAGTGTAAGATCTATCATTTTTGCAGTTAAATAATTGCCACACTACGTAGTATTAAAACTAATATTCAGTCACTTCTGAAATTGCGACATATATTTCTGCTATGTAGATAATATCCAATAAATATTTGCTATAATGTAGCTTGTGATTGTGGTTAGTTAAATAAAATGTCCTTGCGTTCCACATATTTGCTTCTACACAATGACTGAACAATGCTTGCACAAATTTGTACCCGCTTTTAGGCTGTTTGACCCCACTGTGGACATTGTGAAAGCTGATTGGTCACCATTCCGTAGAACACCTTGGCTGAAACCCCTTCTGGTTGACCTTTCACCTTGGAGGGCAAAGTTCCAGGAGGTGGAGGACTCTCTGGACAATCAGACAGATGTGGTCTTCATTGCGGATTTCCCAGGTATGAAATTATATCCTCTATGATAACAACATGTTTAGTTAAAGGGACACTGCGCTGTCCAAATACAAAATAAATAAAACTCACTGTTTGTAGACCAACCCAAATGCCAACATGCATTTATTTCCTTCTTTTTATTTTTTTATTGAGTAATAGTTAAAACTGCTTGCAAAACCTGCAGTACTCTTAACTGAAGCCTTTGCAAGCCCTGCCCTACTACCTCAGCCCAGACTTTCTGTGGCTGTCCAATCACAGACTTCCCAATGGAGCTCAGTGAGAAGTCTTTGCCACACATAATTCCTGTTTTTCTTATGCATTCACTGTTACACTCACCTTTGTCTATGGCAGTAAGGGAGAGAAATTAATCCAATATCTAGTTCCTGCTGTCTACTCTGTAGAATTGAGAGAGCTGGATAACTGCGTACTATTCAGCTCAGCCTTCTCTCCCACTCTCAGTCAGGGTGCTCTCTTTAGACAGGCAGCATGTGCTGGGAGATAATCTCACATCCAAACACCCACTACTAGCTCACAATATGAGCATACTCCTGGGGATGCTGGACATTCAGCAATTAGCACTCTGCCCAAAACGTGTCTCACTTGCCAGTCTCTTCATCAACTAGGAGACTTATTAAAGACCATGGTGACACTTGAAATGGAGCTGCAATTCAGGACTAGCAACTAGGTGTAGCCAGGTATGACCTGGTAAAGGTAAATGGAAACCAGACTACATATTTTACAAACCATAGAAGGACCAGACATGTAGGTGAAATCTCAGCCACTTACCTGTCATGTATCGCATGGGGATTTTCAGCAAATATTAGTTATTCAGAGAAGCGTGTATATGATTTCTCAGCCACAAAGCCACATCTACTATTGGCCTCTGGTGTTGTATAACAAAAAACGAAGACACACGTGTAAATGTTTTTTTTTCTTTTTTTTTTTTCTGTTTTTCTTTTTTTGTTCCTATCAGGCCTGTACCTAGAGAATTTTGTTAGTGAAGACTTGGGCAACACCAGCATACAGGTTCTCCAAGGAGAGGTCAATGTGGAGATTGTGAAGGATGCAAAAAACTTTACACTGAAAGAAGGAGAGCGAATGCAGGTAGCATACAGCCTGAGTGCAAAATGAGTCAAGAGAGAACAACTCGCATAGTCATTCTTCTGTCATTCTCCCTTTTTGGGTACCTCATACACAACTGCATAGTATGCAATTCAGTAATTCTCATATCCATTAACCAATCAAAGCCAGGAGTGAATACTTTCCAACATTTGGCCCTAACATTCTATCATCCACAGACAGTACTAAAGCATGCCAAACCATAGCCTGACGTAATTTGTTTTTTAAAAAAAGTCCCTGAACGTTCTCTTCATGGACCTATTTTGAAAGGCAGTCAGTTGTTTGACATGGGCACCAAATCTTGACTTTTCCTATAGTAGCTGCATGAGGGGAAAAAAGTATGCACTATTGGGGCTAAACACACGCTATTAGAGCTGCCTAATTTAGAAAACCATTTGTGAAATTGTGTATAGTTTTAGAATTCGTTAGATCTTTTCCGATTATATCCCCTCATTATTCTGTGTTCGGCAAATTATCCAAGATAAGGCTACAAATGCCAAACATGCCATATTACATGTCACTGTGTTATGCATATCAAGTCATTGTGAAAGATACAGAGAAAATGAGAGAACATTACTCTACTCTGCTTTTGAAAGAGTACTAAGCTTACTTCTTTTGTCGTTTTATACAGCATATCTCCATATCTTCCCCCCTCCTTTTTTTTGCTGAACACGTTTAACTATTTTGCTTAAAAATGTCATGGCAATGAAATATCCAGCTTGTACTGTTATTTTCTATTACTACAGTGCAGCTGTGGGCAACCTTTGGCACTCCAGATGTCGTGTGCTACATCCCCCTGATGCTTTGCCAGCATTATGGTAGTAAGAGCATTATGGGTGATGTAGTCCACATTTTGAGTGCCGAAAGTTTCCTATCCCTTCTATATTACCCACACTCCCTAGTTTGGTTCTGTTAAGTACTACATTTCATTCTCTGTAAAGAACTTATAAATTCCTGGCTATTTTTTCCCCCCAATTGTTCTGTCTCAGCTCCCAGCTGGTGAGTACCACAAAGTTTTCACCGTGTCTCCGGGACCCTCGTGTTATATGTACATTTATGTTAACACTACAGCCGTGACATTGGAACAGAAGCTCACTCGTCTGCGAGAACTAAAGGAGAAGGTGGAGAACGGAAGTGGTAAGAGTACCCGACGTAACAGTAGGGTGGGTTTCATGTTGGTCAATGTAAACCATGAGGAACAAGTTCTCCTCAAGCCTAATGCAGTGAAGACTAATATATACAATTCATACAACAGACTTTTAAATGATGTAATAATTACTAATGTGGATTAAAAAAGGATTTATAATTTAAAACATACTTAGTTTATCCTTAGGCTACATGTCCTTTTGAAAGTCTTTTAATGATCTGCTTTGCGGTAACCTTTTAATCCTGATTGTGTCCTTTCAGAGACCTCTCCACTGCCCCCAGAGTTGCAGCCTCTCCTATCTGGAACAATAGATGATGTCAGTTCTGCTGATCCTCTAGTTGTCGCTTACTTACGCAGGGAGATGCGAGTGGCAGAGGCTGAGAGGAGGCGCAACGCAACAATAATACAGAGATTTGAGCGTTTTGTCAACAAGAAATACTACATGATGCGACGGAGGTAAGCACAGAACTTTTATAGACACCGTTTAAAGACTGTCATGCAGCCACCATAGGAAAAGTCAAGATTTTGGTGCCCATGTCAAACAACCGACCTTGGGTTGTCTACTATTGCAAATGGTATGCCATCATGGGGGTAAATCTCATTCCTGGGCTACCATACGGTCTCAAAGGCAACATAACCAATCTGGCAAATTTCAATGTGAAAAAACTGAAAAATTTAATGTGCTATATTTGACCCTGTAACTTCCCAAAACACCATAAAACCTGTACATAGGGGGTACTGTTTTACACATGAGACATCGCTGAATACAAATATTTTATTGCAGTAAAAGCAAGTAGTATTATGACATTGACAGTTAAAATGTCACGTAGAACTAAAACATTTTTTGTAAAATCTTATTTTCTCCCTTTTTTACATTTTATTTATATTAAATTATGTTTCATAGCTAAATATTTGATGTCAAATGAAAGCCCTGTTTCCCCTCAATAAAATGATATATAATAAGTGTGGGTGCACATAATATGAATGAGGTGAATTACGGTTGGACAGACATATAGCACAAATACCAGGTTTTAAGTTTTTTGTTTTGGTCACAACGTTTACATTTGGCTCAGTCCTTAATGGGTTAAAGGAATACTCCAAGCACCATACTTTTTATGTAAATTATGTAGTGCAAAAGATAGTTATGCTTCCCTGTCATACATAAGTATTTGTATCCTCACTACCGTTTACAGATCGAGTCAAGTCTTTCTGTGCACATTTTGACTAGCTTCAAACATGAAACCACATAAATAGGGATAAATTATATCAAACTTATTTTCTGTGTTTCACAACAGATTCATTAAAATGGTTTCTTGTGATTTATATGAATGCCATCAGACATGTTATTGCTAACCACTCCTAAACAATGCTTAAGATATAGATCGCATATAAAATGGATGCCTAACGTTTTATTGAGTAAAGTTCAAATAGTGCTCAACTGATATACAAAAGATTTAATTTTGTTTGATACAGAAGCACTCCAAGAAATAAATATATTTTTTTCTTTTTGAAATTGATTTTGGAATGTTCTATTTCCATGATCACATGGCCTCATTGCATTTTACATGTAGTGAGTAAAAACCAAATGCAATGTTCATATTAAAGGGACACTATAGTCACCCAGACCACGTTAGCTCAATGAAGTGGTCTAAGTGCCATGTCCCTCAGGTTTTAACCCTTCAGATGCAAACATAGCAGTTTCAGAGGCGCATCTGCAACGCTGGAGGCACATTTCGCCTCCATCACGCAGAGCGTCCATAGCAAAGCATTGAGAAATGCGCCTTCGGCTCCGCTGACGTCTGACCGGGGAGCTGATGTCGGCGGGGGAGGAGAGTTCACCGGCGCTGGATTAAGGTAAGTGGGCACCCTCAGGGCACTATAGTGTCAGGAAAACCGCTTTGTTTTCCTGACACTATAGTGATCCTTTAATATGGATTTTCTATTTGCTTCTGGGATTGTATAGAAAGCCTTTTAAACGTGACTCCAGGAGTCCAACATCAGTGCAATAAATAATATAACACTCCAAACAGTACTGATTCCTGGAACAGCAAGACAGATGGGGACTATTTAAAGCATTTACGTTTTTTCTTCTTCAGTCAGCTGTTTTAGAACTGAGATACTACCCATGTGTAACATTACCCCTTGTGTGTTGAAAACACTCTATATTCTTTAAAGGAATATGTGCAATGTGTATTGGCTTGTGACTTGGGAATTAGAATGTCAATAAACAAATAACAAAACAGCTGTAAGTTCAGAGAGATGTGAAAAAACAGCAATTTGACACTAGCAGCATTATTCACTGAAGTGTGAATTGCCAGGAGTTCAAACTGAATTTCCATTTGTAGTCCAAAATAGCTGAATTCAGTTATTTAGACGTTTAACTACATAGTGCCATAAAAGTAGATGCATACATAATTCTGTTAGGGATTCCAAATTTGCTGGAAAGGCATTTTCTAAGCAGATACCAAACTGTACGGAGAATATTATAGAGCAGTGATAGGCAGTCTTGAGTACTGTTGTAGACTATATCTCCCCTGATGCTTTGCTAGCATTATGGCCAGGAGAGCATTAAGGGAGATGTGGTCCACAACACCAGGAGTGCCAAAGTTGTCTATCGATGTTATAGAGCAGTCATACCCCTTTAGACATGTAAGTGCCACAGAGAGATGTATTTGTACTTAACTCCTCTGTACACCTCACCCAGTAAAGTATTTTATAGTGTTTACTGGAGTGAAGGAATGGAGATCTGTCATTTTGAGATCATTATCAATTATTTAAAAGCTTGCTTTTGTCACTCAATACAATTCTTATGTTACAAAACTTTTAGTTCACTAAACTGAATTATAATGAACCGAAAATAATTTTAGATAAAATAAAGTTGTGGGGGGAGCTTTAATTTAGAAAAAAAAAAATTATTCCTCCCCACCCCAATTCCGCTTTAAAATTTAGTTTGGGTGGGATTTCACAGTTAAGTAAATAAACACCCTTTTTTTTTTTGGTTTTTATTCTAACCTACAAAATGCCTATCCTAAATCAGACCAAATGACATAGGGAGCCTGTTCTTTGTCCTCCTGCTGTAATCAGATGATACGATTGACTTTTATGAAGTCACATGGTAATGTGATTCTCTTGAGTGCTGCCAGGAAGCTGACCTTGAGCATTCTATGTCTCGATTAGTGACTATCCCACTGGTGGGTACTACAAATTTGTTCAGTATATAATTGGAATTCATGTTGGTAGTTTTCTTTTAAATTTTTTTACTAAAGTGAATCTGTTACGATAGTTTCACTTTACGTCTTAATAGCTCATTAAAGCAACATTACATATTTAAAAATGTTAGAAAACTCTCCAGTGCTATAAATAGAAGTATTAATTTATAATTGTAACGGATCCCCTATACTCCAACTGAGTATATGTGCTGTAGTTCTCCTAAATCCCAAGTGAAGCAGTGATTACCCAAACATCAGCCTACAATTGATGAAGGGTACATGAAGACTAACTACACAGCAAGGATACAGTAAAACACTCCCACAACACCCCCATGAATTTCTGTGTCAGCATGACTAAGCATAACCCATAAAATATTTAAAATATACAAAACTCAAATAGGAACCCCCATAAATATAACATTGTTAAATAGCCCTGATCTGAGCGCTCAGATCCATGCAGTGTAGGGGAAACGCCACCGTGTTTAAGTTCAGAACGGCCGCACACATGGTCCTATGCCTAAAACAGTTCCAGGGCGTTTGGTGCTTTTGCCGGTCAACTTTCGGTTGCTCCACCTTGCTCTTAGGTAGCGTTTGTTCCCCTTATTCTCAGGCACCTTCCCTCCAAAAAGCACTCTCCTGGTGTATTTCAAAGTGGTTTAAAACTGCGAACCAAGTTGTCTGGGAACTGCCCGGGCACCTCATGCCGAAAACAGTTCCACAATATTCGCGACTAAGTCCCGCTGAGGTGACCGGGAAACCACTAAGTCCTTATGCCGAAATTAGATGCATAGCGGTCGCAGCTAACTACCACTGGGACCATTTGTGGGTTTGGTTAACGTGAACGGCGCCAGAATGCCAGCTTTCAGTTCCATTCGCATGAAGGGAAAGTTCCTAACCAGGAGCACCCAGGGCAAGCTACTAATGGCGGGTGGGGAGATTTAACTCCTGAACAAAGTCTTTGTATATGGCCCATAGTTGGTGGTCAGCGTATACACTCCTCCATGAATTTGTGGAAAACATCCAGGGCATGGAGGGTTTGTCACAATAATATTGGAGTGTTCCTTAAAAGTGGCACTGCCATGGCTGCATCTTTTTGTTGTTAACCCCTCTCCCGACTCCTCTACACTTGCTCCTCCCCCACCCCCATGTCTCGAGGTACTCTTATTTTCCCTTTTTTTTTTTTTTTTACTGCCTTGTTTATTCCCTGGATCTATTTCTTGATTGCCACTATCTTAGTGTTCCTGGAAATTATGCTTACCGCATAGTTGTCATCTGCCCACTCTAGCTTGCGCAGTCAAAATTCCCGCACATGCTCTCTTCACAGGACATTTGCAAAGGGCAAAAGGAATCAACACGAGAATATTCAGGAAAGTTGAGTATTCTGGGAAAACTCTCCCAGACACAGGAGAAGGAGCTTACTTAAGCTCCACCATAACTCAAGAAAGTCAAGTGTAGAAAAAAAATTACATCAGACAAAGTAGTCCCTATTTTGTCTTATGTATTTATTTAGAAATAGATGAAAAACAGAGTAGGGAAGAGGAAGTTATTAGGAAAAGGTAAGTACAGGTGACAGTGACACTTTAAGTAGTAAATATAAAATTGGTGTACTAATCACAGCAAATACAGTGCCTGCAAGCATAATGGATAGATTACAGTGTAAGTTCTTTAAAATTACCATAAGTCTTGTGTACCAGGACTGGTAACTTTTTAAAGATAATGTTAAATTGACTTAAGGGATTCTTTTTAAATGTGTTTGTAGATATTACAGTAGGTAACATATTTAAACCAGCTACCTGTTAAGGAAGTGGGAGAAATATTTAGGGATCAGTACTTCTTAAAATAGCGAGACTGCATGTGTGTAAATCCTGGCTGGGCAGTTTTACAAATTTGGAAACAGGTGCCTTGGCCTGTGACTTAGCTTGATTGGGCATATGTGTCCATGTAATGCTTCTCATTCAGATTAATATGCTAGAAATGACAGATCTGCAAAGCCGTTAAATGGTTGAAGCTGCCCATTTATTGATTATGGAACTGGAGAGACTAGTCAATCATGCTCAGTCCCAGAGATATACTCTAGGCTTGGCAGAGCTCTTTGCAATGTCAGATCTTGCACTAAAGTTCTGCAGTGTAACTTTCCCTGTGTGGATGGCTAGAATGCCCTTCATTTTCATCCCCACCTGGTTGAGATCCTCCACTTACTTGTATGTACCTGAAAATTTTCATCCCCAGCTCATGGTTGTTGGCAGGTGATAAAATTTAGCAACTGCCTGCTCTTTATACTTGATGCTATCAGCTGATCTTCAACAGTCTTTTTGGTAAACTGCAGCATGTGCTTACATGGAAAATAACTAGGTTAGCTTAAAAGATGACATCCTTGAAGCACTAAACAGAACAGACATCCCTACCAAAATTGGCCCAGTCTAGTAACACCATGGTGCTAGTTTAAATTATGTGTTGCTATTATCTTTCCTTATCTCCCTGTAGCTTGAATGACCAATAAAGGACCCCAGATTATTTTTAAGTGGTCCAATCTTTTGTAGAAAGAGCTGTTTTCAATCAGAGCTAGCCACTTCAGGTGCTTCTGTGGTGTAAACCTATCTACCTTCCTTCTAATCAATGTGTTACTGTTTTGTTTTTTTGCTGCCATTTCAATAGGGGCTGTACCATGGGTGTGGAAGCTTGAAAAGGCATCCCAAGTGGTTGCACTGGATTGTAAAATAGTATGATTAGAGAAGAATTACAGCTGACCTGTTTATTTATTTTTTTACAGTAGTCCTTTTCTCTGAAGTTTGCAAATCACTAAAAAATTTGTATGACTTCAGTCTTGTGGAATTTAATTGATAAAAATTAGATTTTGTCCTTGATACCCTTACTTTAATAAAAAATTTTTTTTTTTTTTTTTAATAGCTCTTAAATTGTTTCATTTCAGTTTCCTCATGACTGCCATTGCGTTGCGGAACCTTGTGTTGGGACGACCCTCACTGGAACAGCTGGCACAGGAAGTTGCTTTTGCAAACATTAAGTATGAGGATACAAGCAGAGAGAGTAGAAAAGAACATCCCAGAGAGCATGAACACTCAGATTTGTGAAAAAGGTTAAATGCTGCTCTAGACATTTAAGAACACTGTGCATAAGTTACACCCCCCACCCCCCTTTTACAATAAAAAGATAAGTGTGTAAGTTGTGTATGTTAAGTTAATGCCTAGATGTCAAAGTCTTATTTAAAGCCTTTACCAAAAGGCTATACTCTGCATTGTAAGACAGAGGTCCCTGATCTTGAGGCACAGAACTGTCACATCTCGTTTGATGTTCAAGAGTATGTATTATGCAAGAACCAAGTCAGACACAGGTATAAAAGGAGAATTGAATACTTTATTCAGGTTAGGTCTTCTGCTGTTAGTTTACCAGAACCAGACATTGAAGAGATTTAAAAAAAAAATTGGTGGAAGTTTTATGGAGCTAGCACCTAGTGTAGGAGACACACTGCATTGCAGCTTGTAAACAACCAGTTACTCTGTACAACACTGGTAAAGTGTGCTTACACCTACAGAGTATTTCCTCACTGGAACAAGCAGACATGTTACACCAGCTAAAGCCTCTGCAGAAGACAGGCCTGGTTTTTCTGTACAACACCAGGACCTGCCAGAGGTTACTGACCACATTGATGAAGAGAACCAATACACTAAGATTTTTCAAAAAAAATAAAGTTATGTTGCCTGAAGCAGAGGCTACTCTGTACTTACGCCAAAATCAGGCAACACAATAAATAAAGCAGTTACATAGCCATTTTCTTCAAGTAAGATCCTTTCACTCTGCCAGCCTTACATGCCAGTTCTGTGTCTGGACTCTGCACCTAGCTGGTTTCTCTGTAGCCACACCAGCTTGCAGCAAAGCAAGAACAAAAAAAAAAACCCACAGACATAGCACTGGCATGCAGAATAAAGTTATTTTAAAAAGGCAGGGAGAGATTTGTGCAGTGTGGCAGTGGGCAAAAAAAAAAAAATAGTAAAGCGTTTAAGATGAATTGTATAGGCACCAGGAAGGGACATCTTGTTACAGCACTATGGACTCCCCCATTTAATGTTTGTACTCGCAAGTTTAAGATAAACCCTGCAAGATTAACTATATTTTGGCAAAGTGCTTAGTCTGATGCATAGGGAATTTTAAAAATGCACACTGGGAATTGAGGGGGTAAACTTAAGTTACTTATATGAAGTCTTAGGTCATGGGAAGAGTCAGGGATTTAATCAATTTCCCATGTTAGATACTGCAGGGGTAATAGCCAATGACACCAGCAGAACTGAACCTAAACAGTACAAGGCAGGCAAGATACTTGGTCATGAGAACACAAAACATTTACGGCTACGTGCAGTTTAAGTTTATGCACTACAAGCACTGACTGGATAAACAGCAGAGGAGGATACAGGTCATACATGGTCCCTTCTCCTCATTAGCAAAACATGGCACTAGAGACTATACAGTGAGCCAGGAGTGACAGGGAAAGTTGAAGGGGGTCTTTTCCTCCCATAAGATCCTGCAAGCTTCTCTGTATACAACGCAAGCAGGTCTGAGGGGGAAAAGCCTAACAATCAATACTCCAGCTTTTTGGGCACTTCCCAAGGGAAGCTGTCCCTACCAAAGTGACCATAGGCTGCAGTCCTCTGATAAATTGGTTTCTTCAGATCCAGATCCCTGGAATATACAAGTCCGCTAGTTAATACATAGTCTTAAGAAGATTTTCCATAATTATAATCCCACTCTTCTACAGGGTGACCCTGCCCCACCACTTACCCTGTGCAGTTTTGTGCACATGTAGGCCACTCTGTACTTACCAGAAGACTGGCTAGCTTCCGGATCCACCAGTGAAACCCACTTCCAATCTTCACACATCACCTATAGTGTCAGCCCACAACAGGACAAGCCAGCTGAGGCAAGCCCTCACTCAGACTAGCTATGCACAAAGTTAACCTTAAAATATTGGAACACTCCACCTCCCCCAATAAATAAAGCAGAGTTCTACCAGCGTTACCTGACAATGACACCAGGACGAAGGTCAAAGTTCTTCTTTACTATTTCCAGTAGTTCCCGCTCACTCTTCTGTGAGGTCCCGTAATGGAAAATGGAGATTGACAGAGGATGGGCAACCCCAATTGCATAGGACACCTGATAGAAAAAGAAAATCTCATCTAAATATAAAGAACAGCATCCACATAGGAATAGGATTTGAGAGTGTCCAAATTAAGACCAGTATGTTAAACACACCTGGACCAGGACACGGCGGCAGAGTCCAGCTTTAATCAGAGATTTTGCCACCCAACGGGCAGCATAAGCAGCAGACCGGTCCACCTTGGTGTAGTCTTTGCCAGAGAAAGCGCCACCTCCGTGGGCACCCCATCCACCATAGGTATCAACTATAATCTTTCGTCCTGTTAACCCAGCATCACCCTGTAGGCAAATATAAAAGGACCCTGGATTTAGTACAAACAAAACTGGGACTACTGCACTGGTTTTTATTGTAAGTGCAGTTTACACAAAAAGTTTGTAAGTTTACCTGAGGACCGCCAATCACAAAGCGCCCACTTGGCTGCAAGTGGTAGATAGTATCATCATCCAGGTATTTTGCAGGTACCACAGCCTTCACCACCTTTTCCTTAAGGGCATCTCTCATTTCATCTAGGCATATCCCATCATCATGCTGCACAGATACTACAATGGTGTGAACTCTGATTGGAATAACTGCTCCACGGTCCTGCATATACTGAACAGTCACCTGCAGAGAATGCAACAAGAATGTGGCAAGTTTTTTTTTTTTTTTAAATTTAAACACAGAAGCCAACACTAAAGTTCCATTAGTCAGGAAAAGAACCCTCACCTGGGTCTTTGAGTCAGGTCGAAGCCAGGGTAGAGTTCCATTGCGTCTCAGTTCTGCCAACTTAGCATTCAGTTTGTGAGCAAGGACCATTGTAAGTGGCATGCACTCTTCTGTCTCATCTGTGGCATAACCAAACATTAATCCCTGCAAGAAGGAAGCGTGGTTAATTTATGGGGGTTGACTTGTTTGGTGGCCGTCACCCTTGCTGCCCTGTTTTGTATTTATACCCTACCTCCTCTAGACTAGGCTCGTTTGAGCAGGGTCCTCAACTACCCACTATTCCTGTTGAGTTAATTCCCTTTTATTGTAAAGCATTGTGGAATAATCTGGCACTATATAAATACCAATAATGGGGGTCAAAAGCATATCACCTAAAAAAAAAAAAAACCCTACCTTTAGTGTAGAGCAGGATCCTTGATCCATATACATGCACCCATATAAAGACAGTACAGTTACACTCAGCATGCTAACAGAAGCAAAATATTTTAGTCCCCTAGAGTCTGACAGCCCAAAAAGGAAGAAATTCTATAAAAAGACAAAAACTTTGAGGAATGACTAAGTGTCTGGCACGGTCTCTGTATCAGTGAACATTCTAGGTAGGTGTGTACCTGATCTCCTGCGCCAACATCTGCTTCATTTCTGTCCAGATGAACAGCAGCAGCAATGTCTGGGGATTGCTGTTCCAGTGCAACCAATACATTACATGTTTTGTAGTCAAAACCTTTAATTTATAAATATAAAAATGTTAGTGTACCGTCTATTTGACTAATCACATTGGCAAGTCTGCAATAAACACTTACCTTTTGAGGAATCATCATATCCAATATGTTTAATTGTGTCCCGCACAATTTTCTGGTAGTCCACAGCTGCCCTGGAAGTGATTTCACCAGCAAGGAGGATCATGCCAGTCTTTGCAACAGTTTCTGCAGGCAGAGGAGAGCTTTAGTAATTAAGTTTATATCAGTCACAAGTAATTTCATAATACAACCAAATGTCTTACCACATGCAACTTTGGCATCTGGGTCCTGTTTGAGGTGGGCATCAAGGACAGCATCACTGATTTGGTCACAGATTTTGTCTGCAAGACACAAGTCAAACATTTCATATAAAGAACAAGAGTATGTATTAATCTTAATGACTCCATCTAAAATTGTCAAGTGGCCCATAAAGACAGGAAAACACAAGCACCAATCCATACTAAATGGCGACATTTAAATCTTTAATTGTAACCAGAGACCATGCTGTAATGTAGCAGGTGTAGACTGTATACCATATGCCACTCTATGCCCACTGTACATGTGGTTAGGTCATCAGTCTCATTCCATTAAAGCATTTCCAGGGATAGCACTGCATACCAGAGTGCTGTAATTGCCAGTTGTATCACATTCATTACAGTAAAATCTTGTATAATTTAAACTCCACCTCCATTAGTGGTTACACAAGGTAAACCACACCTGGAAACTGATGTTTTAAGCCAAGGAATCAACTATCAACATAAGTAGCACTGAAGGTGTGCTCAAGAGTGTTACACAATGCTCCTTGAATTGATGTGCTGCTGCACTAAAACCACGTGGTAGAGACCAGAACTGAATGAAGCACTCTGTACACTTCCGATGGAATGTTTCCAATGACAGCACATGTTTTATAATATATTCATGCCGTTGCAGACCTGAAACCTGATCCAATGAGGAATCTGCCTCATTGGATGGCGCCCTTCACACCCACCTTCTTAGACGTCTTGCCATGCGATTTAAATAGATCAGAACCCACTTATTGGTCAGTTAGCCAACACCCACTACAAACTACACAAGGTAACAGCATCCTGCCAACAGATCCCTTACACTTAAGGTCACTGCACTCACCAAGTCCTAATGTAATTGCGTCAGCATTCCGAGAGATAGCTACTCCATCAGACATTATGGACAGAAGGTATCTCTGGGGTTCTAGAAGCCCTGAATTTTACATCGTGTAAACTCACCTCCTATGAGACATTGCAACTAGAGCTGGTTTGACAGCGAGAGATCAAGCCACACACTATATATTATATTAATGTATGGCTACACAGGCTGGCATTAACACACTATATTATCATCATTTATATAGCGCCAACAGATTCCGTAGCGTTTTACAATATTTTGAGAGGGGGATGTAACAATAAATAGGACAATTACAAGAAAACTTACAGGAACAATAGGTTGAAGAGGACCCTGCTCAAACGAGTTTACAGACTATATTAATGTCTGGCTACACAGGCTGGCGTTAACAGAAGCATTTCTGAGTCAGTGGCTGATTACCACGTGCTTTGCTCAGGTAACACAGTCCCCGCAGCAGTTACCCAACACGACTGGCCAGCGCTCGTGCGATCAGTCTGATTGCCCGCGGGCCGGGTACTGCTGGCTGTCACGCTAGGGGGGGCAGTGCGCGCGCGGAGACAGACCGGATCCCGGCTCGCGCACACACTCCGGCTCCCCCTTTACACCGCGAACAGCCGTCGCAACAGCCCAGCCTAGGCCCGACAGCCTCCACCACGCGCCCGCCGCCATTTCCGCTCCGTCACTCACCGGGATGGCCTTCTCCGACAGACTCCGAGGTAAACAGAAAGCTGCCCTCGTCGATGAGGGAGTCATGGAAACCGTTAAGCATCTGTCCGTTCATTATTGCCGGTTTATAACTGCGGAGTATATCGAGCAGCCACGAAACACCACTACTGACTCTCTGCTCCTCGCCGGTAGGAATGCGGGAATAGAGCCAGGTGCTGGCCTTTTATAGTCTGCTGGCCATTGACGTCATCCACCCCGCGCGATGCTCGCCGGCCATTCCCCAGCCCCCTCCGTATCTGACGTCAGCCCTGAGGAGAGTGGAGCCAGGCGGACTGTACCACTTCGAGGATTAGAGGGGACTGATAATACCAGACAAATGCGTTTTATTTGTTTTTAACGTTGGTGGTGAGATATTTCATGTCGTTTCAGATAATTGCTTATCAGTTTGAGTATATAGTGAAACTATTCAGATTATTAGATAAAAAAGTTAATAAAGGTTTAATGTCTCGTGATTGTACAGTCCACTGTGGTTGGGCTATTTGCTAGTAGGCGGAGCTTATCAGTCTCCTCTGGAACAGGGAGTGAGAGTCTAGTCTAGTCTAGTGGGTCAATCATTATTGTGCTCACTGCAGTCTGTGTTCATTATTATGTTTCTTTTTCAATTGGGAATGATAGCACTTAGAGCTTATTTTCACGGCTTGCTATTGCACAGTAATTATTTTTACTGACAAATAGGGTTTCAGCAGTGGGTCTCAGCCTTTGTTCCACCAGATGATTTAATAATTTAGGTTAGGTAGGTGATGTGGGATAATGCATCAGAAAGTCAATGGGAAATTAAAGCAACTTAAATCAGTTGCCTTTTTAAATTTTGGTTGGGTGTCTAAAGCATAGTGGATGATAACAATTTGTACTGCGTGACTGGTGGTAAATAACATTATTATTATCTTTTATGAAACCACAAAAAAAAAAAAAGAATCAGTCCATATATTTGTGATAACTATACTGCCCATTATATGGGATACCCTTATAAAATATGTATTGTTCAGGTTTGCTGAGCCTTCAATGCAGCAACTGCAGAATACTGTATGAGAGCAGAGTACTTAGTAAAAGAACAATGTATGTGCTTGCCTTGTAGTACGAAATTATTTTAAATGTTTTACCAAGAAGTAAATGCATATTATTTTGTATCACTCAGCATAATATATATATACACACATACAGAGAGAGAGAGAGATAGATAATGCTTACTATATTAGTACATAATCTATACATGTTTTGCTGCAGAAAGGGACGGTGCATTTCATTATTAAAGCTGAGTGGGCTCATTTTGCTAAACTTGCTTTTTTGTTAGCTGCAAATTTAATTCTTCATTTACAAAAATTCTGTGTTTAGCAAATAAACCCCTATATACTTGGTCATGGGATGACACTCTTTTGACAAGAGGGGTTGATGTTTCTGCATGCACCTTTGCTTGTGGACTTTGGCATAAGGATTTATATTGTTTCATCCCACGTCAAGTAAACAGAACACTGCTTTCCTCTCAGTGACATCCTGATTTATTTGGCTGAATCTTAGCAGTCTGAATGCAGTGTTATCTTTTATATCATATTCATGTTTTCTTTAATAGATAAAAGGATCCTAAGTCTACAGTGTGGTACAATAGGTCTCTTAGCCAATTGTCCTTTACTTGCATCAATGTAGACTCTTACGGTCTTTTGGGGTGAATTTGGTTTTTTAACAAGAGTAAGTAGAATCTGGGGCCCTTGTTGAAGAGTAGTATTTTCAGGCACTGTATATATGCAATGGTACTGAAACTGCACAAATACTAGTGTCCCCTAAAGACTGGTGATTCGCAGTGCTTTCCTCCTGTTGTTCTCAAATCCTTTAATCTGCGGGGATTTATTTATTTATTTTTTTGTACAGATTTAAGATCTTGCTGTTGCCACTAATGTGATACAATAAACTATCATACACAAGGCAGTGTTCCTGGGCCTTGATCATGTTGCTATATTTTATCAATTCTATGAGACTATCGTGTACCCTAGTCATTGTCATTTCATTGCTCTTAAATGGTTACATTTCACTCTGTATTGAAGGGCTTCATGTCAGCAGTGCAGTGTTCTGGGAGCTTTGACCAGAACTATTCTGCGCTGCAGGTTTATAGGATGGATATTTTGTTTGATTTAATATTTTCTAAGCAAATCCTTGGAAATATGAAGTTAAACTCTGCAATTCTGTGGAATAAATCTTCTATCTAAAGTTCTTTATTTTTATGCACTGAAACAAGGTTGTCCCATGCTCTGTAGGTCTACCAAAGGGTTAACTGTATTGTCTGTATGTCCCCGGGACATTAATCTTTGTTCTGCAAAACATTCAGAGTGATATATACCCCTGAGATCTCAAGGTAGGTTCTACAGTCTGATAACAGGGTGGGTTACATGTTCAGCAGTTCACATGATAAGCTACATTTCATTTGACATATCCCATTACATAGGTAGGTTTGATTGTTCTGCATGGTTCAGGGTAGGTTAGTTTTGGTCTGTTGATCTCAGTGTAGGTTTTTGTTAGGAATGTCTTGTGGCTGAATACTTGTTCTGCACATCTCAGAGTAGGTTGCTTGTTCTTCTGCAGGAATTTGCAAGGGTTACTTTGTGCACTGCAGGTCTTTGTAAAATAGCATTTTCCATAGACGGTAGAATGGTGCTCCCTCCTCCCTGTACTGCAGATTTTTTCTCAGAATCGATGCTGATGAAACAAAGAGCTTGCACGTGGAACTTGAGCGAAAGAGAGCAATGACAATGCATGTTTCATACCAAACTGCTTGCATCTATAACGTGTTATCAATAATGCAGAATGTAAAACACAAGATTTGAATACAATATCACTCATGCTGGACATATTCATTTTCACTAACAGCACATGCAAAGCTATCACTAACTGCGTTTATCTCTGTAATTTACTAATATTCTGTAACATAACTCTATTACTAACACTGCACATTTGAATATTCCTAGGTGTCCTGAGTTCAGCTAGACTGTCCCGAATTCGGGCTCCTGTCCCACATTTCTGGTAGTCCACATTTGGGGATCACAAAGAAATCAAAACGAACACTTGCACTACGCAGAATTATGTCAGAACATTAAGATAGCATTAGGCCCATGCTTCACAACTGGCCAGTGTATGTGGTGTCCTGAAGTGGGGCTTGCCAGCTAGGCCTTCTATCAGTCAGCAGTCATGCATCCACACCATAGTTACATATCCTGTCTTGTGTCAGTCGTACCCCATTTCCATGCGGGATTGCCTCTTTTTGTCATCGCCAACGGTACAGCTTCTGTCACTGTCCTCCAAGCCCACCTACCCGTCCCGATTTGTTACTTCCCAATGTTGAGATGTATGTGTATAACATAATAATACTGCGTATATAATACATCACTAAGGCAACATACATTACATGATGTGACTAACACGTTTGCATGGTTGGTATGTAGATTGCTGTCGTTGGACTCTATAGTGGTGGAAGGATATTCTCTGGATTTATGAATTAGGCATTGCGGGTGCAAACTTATGGAAAAAATTTTTTTAACAGCAAGATGGCTACGGAACACTTTTTTGCTGTAACAACAAGACTGTCTATATTCCACACACATGAGGTACATCTTTTCAACCAGCTCCAGTTTAGAAAGTATACAGTTGTACAATCCCCACTGATGGATATGTTACTATTATAACCGCTTCAGCAGCATAGGCATGTATAAAAATAAAAACCTAATAGTGCTCTCTGGTGCAGTGAGTAAATAGGATAAAGAAAGATAGAAATTGTAGTCACATTTTAGAGAGCAGTTGGACCACTCAGAATTGTTAGCATAGGTGGTATAATCCCCACCAAGGACATTATATACTGCAGTCTTACCATTAGAGGAAGGAGAGGTGGAAGAAGACTACAAACAAGAAAGGACAGAGAGGTCATAACTAAAAAAAAAATTGAAAGAGAACATGGAATATTTCATTTATCCCATAAAGCCCTTACCTCTACACAACTATCAGTCCTCAGTCAGGGCCTTAAATTTCCCCCCATTCACTCCTTCAAACCCTTCCTAGATGTTATTTAGTTGGTTAGGAAGGCAACCCTGAAAAGATTATTTGCAAACAAAGGCCCTACAGACAACTATAGCAGCCCAAAAAGCCAAACAACCTAGATATAATAAACACTAACCTAAAAGAAAAATCCAAATTCTATCCGTCAGGAAATAAGACTGGAAGTCTTTGAAAAACTAGTCATGAAAGACTGGAAATGATCAAAAATAGTAAATATTATAGTCATAATTTAAAAAGGAATGAAAAGGAAGCCATCAAACTGTTACAAAAATACAAAGAGATTATCAAACTGCTGGCAAAGGTGGTGTCTTAGTCATACTTCCGAAAGATATGTATATTGCAGGAGCCCCCAAACAACTAGGTGACACTAAAGTTTACAAGAAATTAAACCATGACCCAACACAACATGTAAAAAAAAACCAAAAAAAACACTAGTTGAGTATCTTAAAAGACAAGTCATATAACATCCTCAAACAACAAGAATTGACTTATGTTAATGAACTTTATCTGAAAATTATATCCTTCACCAGATACACAAAAATAAGATTAAACCCCCTGGGTGATTTACTGTGTCATATATAGATTTTGTATTCTCATTTATCCAAATAACTATACATACTATTACAGCCTTCTATAAAGAAGACAAAATCCTACCTAAAAGGGACACTATAGTCATTTAAACAACTACAGCTTAATGTAGTTGTTCTGGTGAGTATAGTCAGTCCTTGCAAGCTTTTTGCTGTAAACACTGCCTTTTCATAGAAAAGGCAGTGTTTACATTGCTCCCTAGTAGGGATCGACCGATTATCGGTTTTACCGATGAAAATACTGAATATCGGCTGATTATGACAATATCGGCTAATTCAGATACCGATATTGCCGATAATATCGCCTAGGACCGCCAGGCTCATTACAAGCACAGCGGTCCTGGGGGGGAGAGCAAGCGCTTCCTCACCTCCCAGCAGCTCCCCAGTGTAACTCTCGCGAGACCCGCGGCCGTCAGAGCGTTGCCATGCTGGCCGCGAGAGTTACACTGGGGAGCTGGAGGAGCTGCTGGGAGGTGAGTAAGCGCTTGCTATCCGCCCCCCCGCCCCCCAGCTCAGCCAATACCACTAGACCACCAGAGACTGTCATATCCCCCCTCCCTGACCAGGCAACAAGCAGGGAGGGGGGACAACAAAAATAAT